CCTGGGGCCAGAATGATCTCTCTGTTTTTCCCATCTCCCCTATCACACATCCTGCACTACAATCGGCGGACACAATGTATTCACAATGCCATCAGGGGGTAGAGAACACACACAAATAAAAACTGACAAAGACGTCCATGATCGGCTGGAACACGATGGGCCGTGTGAGCGCCGCCGAGTTGTGCCTTAAAAACCTAGAAAGTGAGCTTCACTCTGGTCATGTCTGCAAAAAAAAAAAAAGCCCGACTTATGTCAGGACTTGTTAATTTTTAAAATGGCCACAGATCACCTGTTACATTTTTTCTCGTGGGACTTTGAGCCAGCTTGTAGGGATCAAAGGGAAAAGAGGGAGAGAACTAAGTTTGATTGAGTGTGTTACTTTGACAAATGTGTACAAGAGAAAGGCATTTTAGGTATGGTACTGATCTGCCGCTATTTTGACAGAATGGGGCTGTTTTGGACTAAATTATTCTAATCTATTTAAGGAGTTTTAGACTGCTGAGAAACTTGAGAGAGGGAGTGAAAGGCGGTGGTTTGTGAGGGGATTTTTTTGTGTGTTTTTTTTGTTTTTGTTTTTTTTATTGAGACTGAGGTGACTTCCTGTCCTGTAGTGTTCTGGAGCTGTTTCCTGTCAGTAAGAGCCCCCCGCTGAGGGGCCGTGTTGGTTTAAGGGCGTCAAGGTCCAGTTAAAATACTGTACACATGTCAAGACACACACGTCATGTTGTGACACAGTTTAACTCTCTCCTCTCACAGCGCTGCTTCCTCGTCCTCTGAATGCCCAACATGTGGTCAGAGGTCCCTAAAAGCATTCGTTTCTATTTTCTTCAATTGGACAATAAAAAATAAATCTTGTCTATAGAACAAACGGTGTTATTATCATCCGTAGTTGCAGAATTTCTGCTTTGATTTTCCTGTTTGTGAAGGAGGCTGCTTTCCTTTACAGTCGAACACGCGTGTGGACGTCTTAATTGCATCTCTGCGCTGTGCGTGTGCTTTATGAATAAAGAGGTAATCAGGATATGAAACCCATACGAGCCATACTTCCACTACTGCATACTTTCTTTAAAATCCCTTTAAGACGTTAATGAAGCATTCTCCTTTGGATGTGCGTGATGTACACGATGATGTGCACGCTGCATTTATATAATGCATCACAGATTAATTCACATATAAGGCGTATGAACTTAAATCTAATCTTTTTCTCTCCGTGTTTTTCCACCATCATCTCAGGAAAATAACCCGAGATGCGGTGCAGGTTTTTTCTCTCTACGATACACAGACATCTGCTGTCCATGCAGCACCTTTTTAGAGCAAAAAAAAACAGCAGCACAAATGAAATATTGTACTGATGTTGACCACACAAAGGACGCTCCCTTTTTTTTTTTTTTTTTTAAATCAGGACGCCTCTGGCAAGGTTGCATTTTTGACCAAGCAGTGATTTGAGTGTGAGGTTGAGACACAGGTAGGGTTTTTAATGACACATCCTGTTTACCCGGCTTCTGCTGGGTGTGATCTGGCTCGCACACTGTTTCCCCAGCTGTGGAGGCCAAATCAGGAATATTCCCTTTGGTCATCAAGGGGCCCGGTTTACCAGAAGAAGGAGACTGGGTTTAGCTTGATGAAGAGATATTGGTGTTTTCTTGAATTTATATATGCAAATGTATATGCAGATGAAGCTTCATTTTGTTTCCGTGGTGATTTCCGTACAGTAAAAGATTTCTTCCTCAGGAAACACGTGCAGGGTTTCGCTTTAAAGCGGAGCGGCAGAAACAGACAGCGCTTTTAGCAGGAGAAATAACGCATAGGACGGACAGTGAAAGCTCTGCTTCAGAGGCAGCTCCAGTCCCTTCCTGCTTAATCAGCCCCTGTCCCTGCCCTCTCTGTTGTTCCTGATCGTCAGAGCAGCACTGCAGTATTTCTATCAGATGATCTCTCCCTCCTCGTCTGCGGCCCTTATGTTTATGAAAATGATACTCCACAGGAATGCCTCCTGCATGCCAAGATGTCACTGTCTTTCCTCATCGCTCGCATCTACGTGCACGTACCAGTGTGTTTGTGTGCGGGGGGGGGCTGACTGGCTGTATTTATATTTATAATTGTGTGTGTGTGTGTGTGTGTGTGTGTGTGGGGGAGTGTGTTGGAGGTTTGTGTACGTTGAGGTGATGTGTGTGTGTTTTGCATGTGAGACTTATATTCTCTGCAGCTTGTGTGCTTTGCGTGAATCTGTTATTGCTATTTCTGTGTGAGCTGTGACTGAGACGTTGATTGTGTGAAAGTGCATCTCCGAGCCGTCCTATCCCACCTCCTCCTCCTCCTCCTCCTTCCCAAAAGGAATCATTCATGGAACCTAATGATTCTTGTCTTTCCTCCACATGGCATCAGCTCAGTTTATCATTACAACAACACACACACACACACACACACACACACACTCTCACGCTTTTTTTTTCTCTCTCTCTTTCTCACACCCACACACTAGGAAAATTCATACATTGGCCCTACACCATATGCTTAGATATTAGTTAAGACTGCATCCAAGAGTACTGTTGTATTCATAATATTCATAATTTATTCTAAGGGAGCCTCTATACTCCCATCACCTTTTATTAGCTTGATAAATCACCTCTGTTGTCAGTCAAGGCAGGGAGAATAATTGGATGTGGTTGTCGCCCTGTGTGATGGATTATCAGTCATTGGGGATTAAATTAACAGATAGTGCTCAGACATAATGGTTTTTGTTTTGCATTTTAAATTGCCTGGGAGCACGGTTTGACTCTATAGGTTGTTCTAGCCGGTCCTGTTGGACTTCTCTCCCCGTCTCTCTGCTGTTTGGGTTTCACATGAGGAATATTAAGCAAAAGGCGACCTGAGAACTTGGTCATGTGATGCGCCAGGTTTCGCCTGATCTGTGACCAGCTAGTCAAGTAAAAGGAACACGTGAGCTGCCTCGTCCTGTTTGGGATTCTCTCATTTTAAATCAGAATCGGACACAAATGCGGCACAAAAGAAGAAGCAGAAAGAGACGGTAAAGCGAGAGGAAAGCGAGCGTGCAAGAAGTAGCAGCGAGATATCTCTGCCTGAGAGTGAGCGATTTACCTCCTCGGCCCTTCTCCTTCCTCCCAGACCCCTCCCTCCCTCCACATCCACATTATCATAATTGTGTCCAGAACATGAGGGGCCGGGGAAGTGATCATGTCATTTTATTTACACCCTGCTTGGCCCTTTTTACAAACGACATGCCACTGACTGCCAAGCGGACTGGGGCCCGACGACATCTTTTGATCAGGGCTGTCGGGGCCTATCAGTGGAGAATGGCAGGTAATGGATACCCAGTGACAAACCAAATCTCCGGGAGGACGGAGAGTGGGCCGCACCTGCCAGGTCTCCATTAGGCTGGCCTCTCAGTGGGGCTGCCTGCTGACTGTGCCCCCAGGGCCCAAATCAGACCAGCGCCAGCCGCATGGCTGCCTAGAGATTGGCTGTTAGCACTGGAAATGAGAGTTATTTCAGCTATGACATTTTTGTTTAGACTGGATGTGTGTGCGGGGGGCGGTGGAGGGGGGATGAAGGATTTAGTCACAGCGTGTGTGTGTGTGTGTGTGTGTGTGTGTGTGTGTGTGTGTGTGTGTGTGTGTGTGTGTGTGTGTGTATGTATGTACATGTGTGTGTGTGTGTGTGTCCACACACACATACTGGGCTGTGTGAGCGCTCAAACCATTAAAGCCTAAACCTACAGGTTCTTTCTGTGGCATTTGTCTTAGTTTACAATATTGTCCAAATGGCCTCAGACCTGTCCACAGGCCATCCACTATTTTCAGAGATTATTTGTTTTTCCTTAAGTTGAGCGGTTTTGTGAGTGAGGTGGTCAGGAAATGAGGGGCCTGGTGACACGACGGAGGACGGGGGTGCGTTGGCGTTTGGTGGGTAGACACGCCGCCACAGGAGACACAGGAGTGTGTGTGTGTGTGTGTGTGTGTGTGTGTGTGTGTGTGTGTTTGCATGCGGGAGGAGGGGGAGGCTAGCAGTGCACACACACACACACACATGCGCACACACACAGCGATCATCTCCCTCCATGTGAGCAGTGGGCGCCAACATGCAAAGTGACAGGCCACTTATGCATCGCCGTCATGTCGGCGGTCGGCGCTCTCACCTCGTCCTCTTCATCCCGCTCTTCTTCTCATCCCGTTTTATTCCTTCCTTTATTTTCTTCATTACTTTCTGTTTTTCTTGTTTTCACGATGTATTGTGTTTGACATTTAAGACCCGTTTGGACTGAGATCTGCTTTTAAGATTCCAGTTTGAGCCACAGTATCGACTGTCTCCTACATATTAAGAAACTAATGAACTCACTTCAGGCCAGATGACACCGTGGGATGTCTGTTCAACATATCAAAATGTCATCAACAGAATTCTGACATCCCTTTCTTGAAATTCTTCAAGATGTGCTCTTTGCCTGTGTGTGCGGGTGTGTCAGTACGTATGTGTGTGTAATCAGAGAAGAGGCAGATGAAGAGGCGTCAGACATATTAACTGACAGATGGAGGTTGATCCAACTCATTTATTACCCCAGAGGAGAATGCCACAGTGAGATTGGGCTTCATTAATTTCAGATTTAGTTTTCATTTCAAGCTGTTGCGCCCTGAGATAAATAAAATGGTGCATTATGTTTTTGCCAAGATATTTCTTTTTTGTTTTCCTCCAATAGAAGGAGTGAAAAGAGGGGAGGCATAAGTTCCGTGTGGCTGGGGTAGTATATAAATACAGGCTCGCCTAGAGGAAAATAACACCTCAACGGTTGATGAGGTGAAATGGGATGACTGTAATTTCTCAGCTCAGCTTTAAAGGCTCCCACACAGATGGCTCATTTATCCCTGGGAGTCCTCGGGCACACATAGCAGGGAAACTTTTTCTCCAGTTATTCTAACATAGCGTGTTCACTCCCTGCAATTTAACTCATCTCTTTCCTTCTCTCTTTGTCTCCATTCTCCTTGCAGCCTATTCTCCCGAGGAGCTGACAGAGCGCACTGTGGAGGATGAGGAAGCAGAAGCAGACGACCTGCCCTCAGCCCCTCAGGATGACCTTCCCATGAAAGATGAGTTTGTGGAGCAGAGCGAAGGGACTGCCAAGGAGCAGGCATGTGACCAGGAATCAGCTGAGGCCACCGAGCTCTCAGGACAAGAGATGGACAGTGAGTCACATGTGAGTGAGACCAGCGACCGCCTCTCAGACTTTGAGAGTCCCTCCAGAAAAGTTGAGGGAAACTTGGTCACAGCGTCTCTGAACGCTGGCACTAAGACGCCTCCCATAGCCATGGACACCTTAGAGCAGATGAAGGCTATCTACTCCAGCTTCCTGACCAGCCCCTTGTGGTCACCACTGAATTTTAATTCCACACCGCCGCCAACACAGTCTTCGGCCTCTACCGAGAAGCCGGCTCGCAGCAACAGCACCAGTAGCAGCAGCAGCTGCAGCAGCGGTAGCTATGACTGGCACCAGTCTGCAGTGGCAAAGACACTACAACAACATCCTCCTCAGAGCCGTCACCCTCCACAGTCTGAGCCCAGCCTCTTTAGTACGGTCCAGCTCCACAGGCAGAACCCAAAGCTGTTTGGCTCCATCTTCACCGGGGCCAGTAAATTCCGCTGTAAGGGCTGCAGCGCTGCGTACGACACCCTGGTGGAGCTGACCGTCCACATGAACGACACAGGCCACTACCGCGACGACAACCAGGACAAGGCAGGCAGCGGCGCCAAGCGCTGGTCCAAACCACGTAAGCGGTCCCTGTTGGAGATGGAGGGGAAGGAGGATGCCCAGAAAGTTTTAAAGTGCATGTATTGTGGCCACTCCTTTGAGTCCCTCCAGGACCTCAGCGTCCACATGATCAAGACCAAACACTACCAGAAAGTGCCTCTGAAGGAGCCCATGGCCCCTGTGGCAGCCAAAATCTTGTCTTCTAAGAAAAGGGGACTGGTGGGGTTAGACCTCACTGCCACGCCACGCTCTAGAGAAGGAACCCCCAAAGCTAAGCACTCGCAGGCAGACTTGAGCGAACCGTCGCAGAAGCCTTCCTCCAGCCCGTACACCACCACCAACAACCGCTACGGCCACCAGAACGGCGCGAGCTACGCCTGGCAGTTTGAATCCAACAAATTCCAGATCCTGAAGTGTATGGAGTGTGGGAGTTCCCATAACACACTTCAAGAGCTGCGGACCCACATGATGGTGACAGGACACTTCCTGAGGGTGACGAGCTCTGTGGGAAAGAGAATCAAAACACTTCCCGAGGCCACCTCCCCCAATCCCGGCAGAGTTACCACACCTACTGAACAGAGGGTCCAGTCTGTACCACTCGCGCCCTCCACCTTCTCTCCTCCGCCTCTTCAAACCACCACAACTCCCCCCGCCACCTCCCCTCCTCTCAAAGAGATCAAGAAGGAGGAGGTTGAGGAGGAGTGCACGAAGCAAGAGGCTGGACATGAGAAGCAGGTTGCCGTTACTGTCGGTAAGGAGGAGGACGGGGAGAGGGAGGAAAAATATGACATTTCAAAGTATAACTATCTGACTGAAGACGACCTGAAGGAGAGCCCTAAAGGGGGCTTTGATATTCTCAAATCACTGGAGAACACTGTGACATCAGCCATCAATAAGGCGCAGAGTGGGAACCCCAGCTGGGGGGGCTACCCCAGCATCCATGCAGCCTATCAGTTCCCCGGTGCCCTCAAGCTCCAACAGGGCAGCATGGAAAAGAACTCCCAGATGAAGTTCTTGTTTAACGGAGGCGACGGATCGCTGTCCTCCCTCGCTAAGAACCAGCCCCTCATTTCCCCCCCACTTAGCCAGTCCTCCCCCTTTCCCAGCAACAACTTCCAGGCGATGGAGGAGTTGGTGAAAAAAGTGACTGAGAAAGTAGCAAAAGTGGAGCAGCGGGTGAAGCAGTTGTCTCCAAAGAGGGAGAACCAACTCTCCCCCTGCAGCAGCGACGCTGGAGAGTCGCACAAGGGAGGAGAGGCTGACTCACCGCGGGAATGGAGGGAAGTCACTCCAGCCAATAGCGACAGGGGAAGCCATAGCGACAGAGCGTCCCCGGCTACGGAGCCCAAGAGAGAATCAGCAGTCAAATCCCCACTTGCCTCTACGCTGAGATGCAGCACTGCTATTATCACTGGCCATACTCCTCCTGAGCAGCCCTTTGTCAACCCTCTAAGTGCTCTTCAGTCAGTAATGAACATTCATTTGGGGAAAGCAGCCAAGCCCTCTTTGCCAAACCAAGATCCCCTGAGCCTGCTCTCTAGGCTCAGCCAGAGCATGGCTGAGAAGGCGGCTGTGGCCGCTCCTCCATCACAGACCAAAAAGACCGAAAGTGTAGCTGATAATAGTTTCTTGCAGCCCAGTGATGACCAGCCTATGGACCTCACAAAAGGGAAAAGTGACAGAGGAGGCTCTGTAGGCTCAGCCCCCCTCACACCCTCATCCACAGGCTCCTCCATCTCCCCCATATCTGTTGTTACCCCTGCTAAGCTAACCGTGGTCTCCCCCTACACGTCCAGCAGCCCTCTGCATGAAAACGCACTGTCTGACATCTCAGACATGCTGAGGAACCTGACTCAGTCCCACCATGTCTCAAAGCCTCCCTCACGATCCCGGGTCACAGATAAAACCGAGGTTGTGGGCTCCACCCACGACGACGACGACGCGTCCCTGCACGGTCACAAACGCAAGGGCCGCCACTCCAACTGGAACCCTCAGCACCTCCTTCTCCTGCAGGCCCAGTTCGCCTCCAGCCTGAGGCAGACGTCGGAGGGGAAGTACATCATCAATGACCTCAGCCCACAGGAAAGAATGCACGTCTCTCGTTTCACAGGTCTCTCCATGACCACCATCAGTCACTGGCTGGCTAACGTCAAGTATCAGCTACGGAGAACGGGCAGGACCAAGTTCCTCAAGAACCTGGACTCCGGTCAGCCTATATTCTTCTGTAGCGACTGTGCCTCACAGATCCGAACCCCGGCAGCGTACGTATGCCACCTGGAAGCCCACCTGGGGTTCAGAGTCAGGGACCTAGCCAAGCTGTCCCCCAAACAGACTGTCAGGGACTCCCACACTCTCACTGAGAAACTGGTGCCCCTGGAGTCCTTCCTTTCTCCACAATCACAAGACGACTGCAGCAGTAACGGGGCGGTGTACCGCTGCCAGCTCTGTGTCCGTAAGTTTGCCACTAAGCACGCCATCAAGCTCCACCTCAGCAAGAGCCATGGGAAGTCTCCAGAGGACCATCTGCTGTATGTGTGTGAACTGGAGAAACATTAGATTCCTCGTAGCAGAAGACGTACTGGACAACATGCGTAGAATGACTGTTAGACAAAAAACACACACAGAGAATATTTGAGATGTGTGACGGCGCACACAGACGCCATGAACTGCTATCAACATGTCAGCACAAGGTGTTTACATCTATTCGGCCTAAAAGCATTTCTGATTTCTCTGTATTTCAAAAGACGTTTATTTCACACCAGAACATACTGTAGGTCAGATATTCAGCTCCCTCACACATCCGAGGGCACATTCTTTCATGATCGCGGTGAAACTCTTGACTAGAAGGTCAGCTATTAACTTGAAATGTATTAACTTTATTATATTTATTTTGTATTTTTGTGACTTGGGTTCTGATTTGCTGGTAGACTGCATGTGTTGCTGTTACATTTGTACAGTCCTGTCCTGTCCTGTCCAGATTTTAAAAATGCCCTTTTAAACTGGTCATTTTTTAACACCTTAAAACAGCCAAACGCCTGGGAACGCTCCTGAAAAGAATCTGCCAAACAGCAGAAATTCATTGCTTGTTTTTATAGTTTTCTCTGTACAGCCTATTGATTTTCTTGCTGATTGTAAAAAAGCTGCCTTGTTCTTTATCATTGAGTAAGGGGCACTTAAAATCCAGGTCTGTGTAAAAATGTACATAGAGTGTGTAAGCTTACGATTTGCTGTTTAAATTATGCATACTTGTTATATTTCCTAATTTAAGAGGACTATGACTATCCACTGGTGCAGAGCCTTTGAAGAAGATTAAAAGGACACTGTTTTGCACAATAGTTTTATAAATGTTATTTGATATAAAAAAAAAAAAAACAACCCAATACAGATATGTTAATGCCTTGTGCTTCTATGATTAAATTGAATTAACTGCTGCATAAAAACATTGTTTTCTTTCATATTTGCTAATCAGTGAAATTTCCGGATCAAGGTGCATTTTGAATTTGAAGAGCAACATTTCAACAGAGCAGTTTTATTTATGAAGAGAGATAACGGACATTATGGTCCCAGATGTAATTTCCAAAGTGATTTTCACCTGGATTAGGAGAATAATTCAGCATAAAGGGAAAGAAAAAGCCTCTCTCCTCCGATCTGTTGTCCCACAATGTCATGACTAAGCATTTAGCAACCAGCTGATAGGCTGCTCACATCTGCAGATGCACTAAGCAGAACTTAAAAAACCCTCAACGTTTTCCTGTGCAGTTGTCTTCACAAGCACAATTTGTCAAGTATTGCGAGTGATTTCTGTGCCGTCGCGTTGTTGGGGCGGACTCGAGAGGTGCGAGTGGTGCCACTGCCTGCAAGGCGTCTGGCAGGTGGTGTGTGCTGCATGTAAACCACCAGATGTTTCTGAAACGAGCCACTGGAGGAGGAGGAGGCAGGCGGGCTACAACAGCAGGCAGAGTGGGCTGATTACCACGGGGGCTTGGATGCCATCAGGAGCCCTGGGCACAGACAGCAGATCTGGCACACACCTGGACTCCAAGACTGTCCCTTGGAAAAAATAAAGCGGATCCTATATACGCGCGCTGAGACAAGCTGACAGTGGTGCAGAATGCACAGACAGGTGCTATTCCCTCAAAGCAGGCTTTTGGATCTAACAATATTACTGGCAGGTGTTGATGCTATCAGAGTAGTCACAATTCAGGCTCAGTGCCATGTAATGAGAAAGTTTTTATTTTTTCTTCTGTGTTTGTCGGCGTGCGTGTGAAAGCGCACCGACACACATTCAGCTCCCCCGTTCTTCAACCATCCACCTTGGTGGTGTTTGAAGATGCCTGGGGACATCGTGTTCTTTCTCTTTGATGTTCCCAGGCTTCGCTTGTCATGACTGACTGACTGAGTGACTTGGGGCCGGGGAAGTTATCTGGTTACTATGGTGACGGCCATTTGCCCAGCCTCTAACCCTGCTCGCTCACTCAACAGAGGACAGCTCGAGTGCAGCACACCCATTTACTCTCTTAAATCTCATCATCTCGCTTCAGTTCCTCCCACCCGGGAACAGATTAATTAACACACACACACTGTGTCCTGACCCCGTCTTCTCACACAAACTCATTACCGCCTCAGACTTGCTCCCGGCCCTCCGACGTTTAGGATACATTTGTGAAACGTTGTGGGAGAACCCAGTGATGACTCACATCTGACAAGCAGAATAAAGCCCTTAACAAAGGATGATAATTGAAAGATGGGATTCAGGCCGGTAGCCATTGATAATGCAAATGAAAAAGGCTGAGCGGCCTTATTGAATATCTTGTGAGTTTCCAGCGCTCGCAGAGTCCTCGCAGATAGAAAATTATCTCTCAGACATGATCAATTTTTTTTACTCCACCAACACTGTATGTGTTGATAATGCTTTAGGCTTAGTGATGGACTTGGGGTGAGGATGGTTGGGGGCGTTAATGAGATAGTTGACACTTTGGGGGTTAATGAGGGGCTGGAGGGAGAAGGCTAAATGATTGGACTTCTGCTTGAATGAGCATTATAGCGGCTGCTGGAGAGCGATGTAGAAGCTGCAGATCCGCTGTAGCCAATTATTTAGTATGAAAAACACAAACCTCCTCTCGATTGTATTTTTCTGCGATAATAAAGAGGAGATTAGATGTGTTATCCATTGTTCTTTTGTCTTGACTATCCTTGAGGGTTGGGTAGTTATAGACGCCGATGCGCCTCAATGCTCCTAAAACAAAGTCAGCAGTGAAGGGGGAAGAAAGGAGGCGGACAGGACAGGGATAGGATAGGAGGACAATGAGTCCCCCCACTCCACCACTCCACAGATCTCCCATCAGCTCTTGTCATCCCTCTAATGAATATCAGTTAAATTGCTCTGTGGATCTGAGGAGTTTGGATGTCAATGTGATTTGTGTGAGTGTGGCGGATGGAGGGGCCCAGACTAATGAAAGGCGAGCCCAGCCTGACAGAGTGATGAGCATCAAGCCCATCAGACCAATCACACGAGAGTGGCTGACAGCGCCAACAGACAGACAGCTGAGGAGGAGAGACTATGTATTTAGGAAAACAAAATGGCTGCCAAAGTAGTGGTGTATGTCCTTAGAGCACCATGATATATATCAGTCCTGTCTCCGTGTGTTCGCACAGTCGTGTAAATACGACGCCGACGCAGGCCGCTAAGTTACGCACGTGTTTCTGAGGATCCATAAATTGCGATTTCAGCGAGATTTATGGACGACAGCTCTCTCCTGCGTTTTAATGCTTCGCGTTAATCAGGGAGAGTCTTAAAATATCAACAGGTTAAGAGGATAAAAAACACCAGTTAACTGCTATTAAAAAGCAGCGACAAATCAAATGTTTCTCTGCGAGTCTGATGCTTGACGAGCAGCCGTGTTGTCGGGCTACAAACGAGCTCTACCAAGATCCTGGCATGCCAAGATGGACAACAATGTCAGAAATGTGTCCAGTCCACGCAGCCCGGCTCGCCAGAGCTGACGTGATGTCTTCTGACAGCGGTGCAGGAGTCATGGGTGGAGCCATGTTAGCTTCACCTTGGACCTCTGACCCCTGTATGGGCGGAGTCACACGCATCCATGACAACCGCTATAAAGAACCAGCGACTTTAATAGAGCTCAAGAAAATACCGTCTTTACTTTCTTCTGTGTCAAAGGAAATAAAAATACCATAAAGTAAGCACAGATTTACAAAGGAGCGAGCGTTCCAGACGTCGGAAACGCAGACAGCAGGCAGGAGGAAGAGACAAAAAGGTGAGTTTAAGGTGATTTGATTTCCGAGCGTGGCTCCTCTAGCGGGTGCAGGTTTTCATGCCGCTGTGTTGCAGTGCTCTCTGCCTGAGATAGCTGTCAGAGGCGTTTTGGTGTGATATCTGACAGATTTGCTAAAGACACTCGTCTCAGGGCAGTACTCTATATATCGTTAGTTTAATGCACAATGACATGACCAATTATAGCGAGCTCCATGCTCAAATAGCATGTCAAAACCTGTGTATCAATCCATTAGATCCTGTCTCCCATCACATTAAGTGGTACCTTTAGCTATCTGTTCGGCACGTAAAGAAAAATGCTGACGGAATGGAAAATGTGCCGGTGCTGCTCACAGAACTGATGTGTTTGGGAGAAGAAGCCTCCCTCTCTCGTTCTCTCGTTCTCTCGCTCTCTTCTTTGCTTCTGCTTCTTTGTCTTTGCGTCTCTCGCCCTTCTCGCCGCTCTCTCGCTCACTTGCTCATCCAAGCCACGGAGCGCAAAATGCATAAACAATACATCTAGATAATGGCCGGCATTGTTTACTTAGCTCTGAAAATGTATTTGTGCAAAACTCTAAAATGCATTTAGGGGGAATCAGTCACTGCGTGTAAAGCTTTGCTGACATTGGGGTGCTCTCAAAAGCAGGGGAAGTGTCATAACAACATCATATATCACTGTATCAATTGGAATAAGAGGATATTGTGGATATAATGTGCGTGGCTTGAAACACACCAGTGGATTCCACCAGTAGCCGCTCTGCCTCTCCCAGTGTTCCTGCATCAACCTGCTTTGTTGGCGGCGGCGGTGGGTGGGTGGGAGGAGGTGTGTGATTTAGTGCAGTTGGTCCTAACGACCTCTCTGTCCTTGTGACGAGGACACACAGCCTCAGGGCTCTGGCATGGAGGATGTGCCTTGGACCGCCTGGCACCTCGCCTGGCACCACGCGTGGCAACACGTCCACACTCTGCCACCCTTCTGATGGATTGGCCTGTCTCTGGTGCCACCTTCATGAAATCACTTTTTGATTTGTTGTCATGTTTTTCTCCTTTTTTTTTTCCTGCTACTTGGGTTTTTCACGGGTAAGAACACCCTCTGGTCAGGTATTACAAGAGTGATTAAATTAACCTTCAATAAATCAGCATAATAGAGCATTACCTGCGAGTGTGCGTGCGTGCCTGCCCGCCTGATGATACGAAGGTGTGCGATCGAGAGGTCAGCATCAAATGTCCATCCACGACTCCTATACGAAGCACAAGCTGCCCCGTGGCTGAAGCTGCTCTTTCCAATGTGCCATTTCACAGGAAACACATCAATAAGGCGCGATTACAAGGCTGACAAAATTAATCTCGACTGTCATTTCACAGAGCTCGGGTTTGAGAGTGCTCTGATCAAGTTACATTAGTGGGAAGCCACTGAATGATTTGGAGCCGAATCAAAATCCGTTTGACTTCCCTTCTGTTTGGCAAAGGCGCATTATCGCCAAGAAGCCCTTCTTATCAAACACAAATGACATTTATGAGTGCATTTTAACCTACGTTCCTGAATTTAATACATAGAATGCCTTAACTTTGGAGCTGTGTTGCATCAGCCGGTGGTGTAGGAAGGAACTCCTGAAGCCGAGAATCAGTCGGATGACTTCTGTGGTGTGAGGTTAAAACAACTGGGATCTTTAACATACGTCAACGTAGCAGCACTACATGTAAAAATACTCCATTACAGGCATACGTCTGATACTCTAAATGATTCCTATTTCATGCCTTTTTTTTGGTAACACATTTACCGTGTCGGATTGTTAATGAGTTAAACGTCACTGTCCTGATCTATAGACTAAAGTAGGAAACAGACTTTTTAAGGCGGTGATGCAACAGTTCTCAGGCCAACTGGACTTTGTTTTGTGCTAAAAGGAATATTTTTAAGGCTCAGCACTCTGCGCTGCGTGCTTCATCTAAGCCGCAGAAAATCTGTAACAGAAAGTCCGACAACATTCCCAACACAGAGCTTACTGTTTCTCATCGTAAAACTCATCCCTGACAGCGAACAAGCTAAACCTCAGACAACTCATTCTTTCCATCTGTGCTGTCTTCAGTGTCCTTCACATGCAAATCTTGACAGCTCTGTCCAGAAGAGGAAGGCAAACTCAGGACATCTGCTTCTCTGCTTCACGGAGA